CAAATAATAACCATACAAATAACATACAAATCAAATATATAATTTCAAAAGTCATGAAAAGGAACCTGTGCTAGTATAATTTAGCGATTTTCCGGTAAGAAATCCAGTTTTCCGGCAATAGATTCGGCAGAAGTAGATTTTCCGACAAGGGTTCAAAAAACATTAAATTAAACACTTAAAACCAGTAAACAAAACTCCAAAACAGAAGTTGAGTAGAAAATAGGGAAGAAATCGGACCTTAAATCGAACTTTTGTCGCCGGAAATGAGTGTGGTCGCCGGTAATAATGGAGCTCCACTGGTGGCCGGCGGTAATGGCTGCCGGAGACGAGTCCTGTGGCGCAAACGAGGTCGTCGTCGGAGGTCCTTCAATCTTGCATCGTGAACCGAATCAACCAAGTTTCATGGACCGATCGAGTGCAATATTTTAGAAGGCGTATCAAACATGACAATTAAATATTTTGGACTCGGCCCATTTTTCGACCAAATTATAAGCAAAATCAAACAAACCCTTAATTATGTTCGAAAAAGTTGTCATACACACAAACTATAACAATTCAGATTTAAATGGAAATTACAAATAAATCATCAAAAGTAAAAACAAAAGCAGCGTTGAAAATTACAAAAAGAAATTTAACAATCAATAACAAGAATGAAAATAGATATTACATCATGGTGACATCAATAAATAATCAGAGGATGGGCACTTAATTATGGTATAAGATCATCCGAAGAAATACGTTTCAATATACATAAATATGAAAACCACAGAGATTATTGGTTTCATATAAAATGATTTATGTTGTTTTGCTTGGCGTGAACTTTAAAGTATACGAAAACCGTGGATCAGGATTATTTGTATGTACTTTCTTTTCATTTAGACTGAAGTGCAGCATCGAACATCATACTAAAAGCCTTTTCAATGCATGTCCGGAACTTCACATGATCTATGAAACCTTTCTGGGTTCCTACTGCGATCCTCAGCTGGTCCATGTAACTCATTACTGTCACCGTAAGACTCTGCCAGAAAGTTAGCATCCAAGAACACACTTCTCAGTTTGTGTAATGCGTGAGAGTACAAAATAATACTATATATATATGATAATATGAAGCATCCTAAATAATTCAAAACACCCTATCAGGTTATTTAGTTGAAAAAGTAATGATACCTGCGGAACATTGAGGACCATGAAATACAAGCCTTTAATTGGCTGATTAGAAAGAGTCATCTTTTCAAGTGGCCCAATCATATTGGACACAGTCATGCTTGAATTCTTCAGCGTGCTGTGAATGTATTCAGCTGTTGCCTTTACACGAATTACCGACACAACCAAAGTTAAGATACACAGAGAGAAAAGATATCTAGAGTACACTATATCCGAGCTAATTAATGATGTAACTAGCCTTACCTCTGGACCTCTATATTTTCTCACAGAGTCAAGTAGCATTCCAGTGAGATAAACACCAGAGGAGTTTCTCTTCCTCTTGATTGTATTCTGTGTTTCTTGAACAAATTTGAGTGGATTCAATGAGTTGTCGTGTTCGTGTAGCTCGGGTAATGAAACATGCAAGAAACCAAATTGGTTTCCCCACTGAATTTGAGCTTCCTCATTTTGAACCATTTCATCCACAGACTTGTATCCACCAATAGATCTAGTGTTAAGCAACACCAATGCTGTGGACATTGCATTTCTTGATTTTTCATTTGTTGCTTCCATGTATAATCTAGTCCCCAGGAAGAGCATTCCAGTAACTACGTCATTTATTGTCTGTTTAACAACAAATTTAAATTCATATTGAGAAGTGTAAGATGAACAAAACAAGTTCATATTGAGAAAATAAAGTTCTAGATTCTTCAAATCTATTCGAACATTAATCCTTGATGTAAATGTTGATTATATCAAGTCCAGATAATAAAATGAATGAAGTGTACATTGCGATTTGGTGATTGTGTTTCGAAATTCATTGCTATTTCATCTACTCTAAGTACATCGAAAAGCCGAATTAGACGGTTTTTTTGTTTCTTAATGGGGTTTGCTGCTGATTGCTTACTTGATTCTTAATGTGGTTTTGAAATCGACTGTTTGGTTGTATTATTTTTAGATGCCTTGTGTTGTTCTAAGCCTAATTTGATTGTCTTGTAACTCGTATAAACCTTTTGTACACAGCCAATTTGCTGCTGGCTTTTCATTTTTGATATATTATATGACAACAGTTCAAAGAAAAAAAGAAAAACATAATAAAATTAATAATTAGTCTTTTATTAAACTACACACAGATATCAAAATTACAGCCACCAATGCACATTTATTTCTATCATAAACAAATGAGAGAGACCTAACTGTACATTCACCTACCAATATGATCACTAATGCTATTATTAACATTATATAATAAATTGTAGCAAATTGTACAGATTCAGCTTTATTGGACTCCGAGTATTCCTCATAAGATTGATTTTACTATAAAACCGGTGTTCCGATATGAACTTCAAAACCCGGTTTTAGTTAATAACATGATGTACTATTTATAAGATTGATTTTACTGTGAGATGTCATTGTAATCTTGTTATTCCATGAAAATACATGGTAGTATTTAATCAATGATTACGTGTTATTATAAAGTTAATCAAAACAAACAATATATACAGTAATGTGAAAGAAATATTAAATATTCTAAGAATTTTGGTAAAATCATCTACGTAAATTTTTATACCAAATAGCTCACCTACAAAAATCTAGCCATGCTGTCAAACGTTCTTAAAAAAGCAATTTGAAAAGGTACTTGCTTGGTATAGGATGTAGTATGACTCACTATATTTAGTCTGTTGGGTGATTAAAGATTGTCTTGAATGAGATGGGGCTAAGATTTGGTAGCCATTTATCTTTTTTGTTTTGTAGTATATTTATTAAATTGCAATATTGTATACTTTTTTTTTATGTTAAGACTCATAGGGATGCGTATAATGCTTGAATGGATAATTGGCCATTCTTCCTATCATCAATTATAGTTTTTTTTTTTTTAATCTTTATCAACGGCACCTGAGTTTCTATCATATCATATCCACGGCAGTATAAGAAACATGTGCAATAGGAACGAAAAGGCATCATGAATCCAACCGAAGTAGACGCTAGATGTCGCCCCTAATCCATTTGTCGCCCTTACGATCATCGACTTAATTCCTTGACCAACTTGGGTTTACTAGAATTGATTTTTTTAACTTTTTGAACGGATAACTGATTTTTATATTTTATTGATCACACATATAACCTACATACAATAACTATAAAACGTACATAAATGGTCCTGCTATGTTTTCAATACAAAAAACCAATAATATTTCACCACAGTCAAAGAATTAGGGAAGTAGAAATATTATAGTTATGCATTTATAGCCAATATTTATTATCTTATTCTGTATGTTTGTTTTGATATTAGGGTTGTTATGTATTATGCAAAACCACTCAACATTTTATCAACCAAACAAAAAAAAAATTGATAGCCAATATCTTTGGTACTAAATTTACAATATAAAATTATGAAGATGATATTTATCATTATCAATTGTACCAAGTAATAGCAATAACGTTTTGTACCAAATATAATTAATACAATACACACGGTTTGACTGTTCCATCTTTATCTCAACTATAGTGTGCATAACATCCCATAAATTAGTTTAGAAGATCACGTCATATGGGTGTTTTCATTTATAGTCCTTTGATTTCCACCTATCGTCTAGGGTACACGAGACCTACTTAATTAATATTTTCTCATTGATGTCTTTACTCTTTATGGCCCTTATCTATACTTTGCTAGCAAAAGCCTATTCAATAATATATGTTGGGGTGCCGATATGTTTTCCTCATGATCATTGACGACCATATTAAATAAAATAAATGCATATGATCAACTAATATTTAATAGGTCTAATATCGTATATAATGCATTATTTGTATATGAAATGCGGTGGAACCTTCGTATTATTTAGACCAATAATAGATCTTTAAGTGAATTAAAACGAAGTAAATGCTTACCACTTGAAGACGCGACTTAATTTGCTTAATTTGATCCAAAGAGAATGTCATCGTCATAATATCGATTGGCCTGAACTCCACCCCTTCTTCACCAGAGCGTATCGGAGTCCGGCCATCTCCCAAGAAACTGCTCTTTAAAACGCTCCAACCAAAATCCATAACTGTGTTTAGTGCACCACTAATGGCCTGTGGTACTACACTTATTAAGCTCTTGTCATCATTATCTGGCTTGACAGTTTTCTGAAAATTTGGAAATGTCAAGGGGAGAGAAGGGTTATCTGCTCTTTGTAGACACGAGAGAAGAGCACCCATAAGAGAGAAACCATCACCAAGTGCATGATGAAGCTTGAAAACAACGCTTCCAGATGCATTGCTTGTTGGGTACTTGATGACGTGAATTTCCCATAAAGGCTTTGTTTGTGGGAGTGGATCCATTGCCATTTTCGACAAGTAATCATTGAAGTAATGATCGTAAGATTTAGGTGATAAACCTTCGGGAAAACAAGGAACATTGATATGGTCTTCAGCCTTCACTTCGACTCTCTTCCAGTGTTTCACTCCCTCTTTGTCTTCAACCTGATAATAATAGCATATATATATAACTAGTGAATTTCCCATAATACCATTGTATTGGTTTTACTAAACTTTGAAAGGGTGCAATAGAAACATCATCATTATTCTCACAGCTACTGTATATATGAAAATTTGGTATGGGTTCAACTGTCCACCTGATCCATAATCATGATTCCATTATCTGATGGGTCTATACTCTATAGTCATACTAATAAAAAAAATACTAGAACACATTAGATTTATGAGCACTTTGGGACTGTATTGGTTTCTATTTGGTACTTCCTTCCTAACAAAGAACTTAACAATATCTCCATATATAAAGTTATAAACCTTCGTCTAAGTCGGCATGCTATCAATGCACTTGAAGATAGTACAGGAGAAAACAGTAAAACACTATCGCTTATTTGTATACTCTCTAACCATTTCTCATTCACATCAATGAAACATAAGCAAGAATCATATATAACCATGATGTAGTTCCTGATTTTGCAGGATGATGATCATCATCAACATTCAACAACCTGATCGTCAATGCCTAGAGAGAGACAAAGATATCTAGAGAGAGAGTAAGACTGATAGTAGGGTTACCATAATAGAAGAGAAACGAGGGTTAATGGGAAGAAAGACATCGTTAATGAGTGCAAGGCTTGAAGAGTCATCAATGGGGTTGTCAAACTCCAAGATGCTAATAACAGAAATGGAAAGCACCGAGCTGTTGAAGTACTGGCCGGTCGGGCTCACCGGTTCTGACATTTCCTTATCTTCCACACGTCCTACCTTCACCTTCAACTCCATATATATCGAACTCTCTGTGTGTTCTGCTTGCTGCTAAATGATATATTATGTGTTCGACTCGTAACAAGCCTAATAAGTACTCTATGACATGGTGTGCTCACAAGTTATCTATCTGTACCCTTAATTAAGTCTCGCCTTATTCAAGGATTTTGCTTTCTCACACCGAAGTTTAATAAATATAAAGCAGTATGTTACTATGGCTTGTGCATCATGCATATTGATTGTGTATTCTTTCTGGATTTAACGACTTTGTCATGGCAAAGGGGTCAATCTCAGTTATGAGTGGCACATGCGTAGTAGGTGCCGTTTAATTAAAGCAAGACTTTTACCCTTCCTTACAAATTTTTAGTTGTTTCTATGCTTTTACTGCGTTCTTTGTCAATGTATGCTTAACTACTCATTTTTAATATTATCGTATACTACTAATAATTAATTTCTGTATATTAGAAAATAATTTCGATGGGTTGATAAGTTATAAAAAGACCATTCAATGATATTAATTAAATTGGTATTATTACTAGAGTTGAATACATACTTTAAATTTATGGATATAAATATTGGATAATCTTCACCATACAAATACGTACAAACTTTTTCCAGCCATACAATTTTGACCCCTATAAGCACTCATTGTTTGAAGAAATTGTGCTTTTTCAAAATCTTTTTAATAAGAAAATTTAAATTGATTTTTAAAATTGGAATTACAAATTACAAAACTTTAAAAAGGTTAATCCAACCATTTTGAAATCCCTGGTGGTTATTCAAATGATATTCCTTATACCAAATGTCTTTTTGGTGGTTATTCAAATGATATTCCTTATACCAAATGTCTTTTTGTTTTAATAATATGTATCTTACCCCTTAATTATATTAAAATGTTATATACTAATTATTTTTTTACTAATTATAAAATATATAACTAAGATAACAATATTAGTTATTAAAAAATATATCATTCGAAAATGTTTGTCAAAATAGTAAAATTAGAGAAAATGATTTAACATTGTAATATATTTTGTTGTTTGTACATATTTAGTCTTTTTTTTTTGCAAAATAAGTCCCTGAACATATTTTTGCACATTCAGTGCTTATGTATTATGGGTTTAGTTCTCAGTTTATATATATTTAGTCATTAACTTTTTTTTTCAAAACAATCATTTTGTTTTTGTACATAATCAGTCATTAAGATTGGTTTCTTGTGGTTTTGTTCATGTGGTCATTAATGAGATGTTTTTATATGTGGTTTGTCTAGATTTTAAAATCATGTGTCACTTGTCTTGACTTTAGTTTGGTAGTAAGATTATTTTATAACATTTCATAGTGACAAATTAATAACACTGCAGTTTTAATATCATCATAGAAGATTACAAGTTATTTTAACCATATCTCTATTTGAATTCTTCTTCATCGCATTTACTTGTTTTTGGAGACATGAAACCTTCTCTTTATTATATGCAAACTCATCTTCAAAATTCGGATTCAATTTGACATATTTTTAATCTATCCATTGCAAAAATTTGTTCTTTTTACATGGTTTCTTACAAAAATAAAATTTCAGTCAGTAAGAAAGAAGGTCAATTTGAAAAGAAATTACAAAAAACAAAATCTTTTTTATAAGAAAATTTAAATTGATTTTTGAAATTGGAAGTACAAATTACAAAACTTTAAAAAGGTTAATCCAACCATTTTGAAATCCCTGGTGGTTATTCAAATGGTATTCGTTATACCAAATGTCTTTTAATTGTATGTATCTTACCCCTTGATTATATTAAAATGTTATATACTAATTATTTTTTGACTAATTATAAATATATAACAAAGATAACAATATTAGTTATTAAAAAATATATCATTTTGTCAAAATAATAAAATTAGAGAAAATGATTTAACATGGTAATACATTTTCTTGTTCGTACATATTTAGTCTTTTTATTTTATTTTTTTATTATTTTTTTTTTTGCAAAGTAAGTCCCTGAACATATTTTTGTACACGTTCAGTGCTTATTAACATGTATGACAGGTTTAGTTCTCAGTTTATACCATGGTTGGAAAAATCACTCGACGGTAGCTCGGCGGTGGACTGGGGTCAAGCGATTAATCGGTTTGGCGGGGATTAATCGGTGATCCTAAATTACTAATAAAAGTATTTTAAAATTTAATATATCCTAAGAAAATTAATATTTGAAAATTTAAAATTTAAAATTTTGAATTTTTTAAATATTTGGTATTATATTTGAAATTTTGAATATTTAAAAATTTAAAATTTTGAAAATTTTTTAATTTTTGTGTAATATTTGAAAATTTGAAAATTTTTCCGCCTAGGAGCGCCAAGGACCGCCGAGTACCGCCGAAGACCGCCTAGACCGAGTATGACCAATTTCCGCCAAACACCCCTAGTCGTAATCACTTGCAGACCGCCAAGCGCCTAGGCGGCCGCCTAGGCCGATATTACAACACTTGTTTATACATATTTAGTCCTTAAATTTTTTTTTTCAAAACAATCATTTTGTTTTTGTACATATTCAGTCATTAAGATTGGTTTCTTCAGGTTTTGTTAATGTGGTCTCCTATGTAGGACAATCATTAATGATGTGTTCTCATATGTGGCTTGTCTAGACTTTGGAATCATGTGTCACTTGTCTTGGCTTTAGTTTGGTAGTAAGATCATATTATAACATTTCATAGTGGCAAATTAATAACACTGTAGTTTTAATATCATTATAGAAGATTACAAGTTATTTTAACCATATCTCTATGTGAATTCTTCTTCATTGCATTTACTTCTTTCTTGAGACATGAAACCTTCTCTTTATTATATGCAAGTTCATCTTCAAAATTCGGATTGAATTTGACATGTTCTTAATCAATCCATTGCGAAAATTTTCTCTTTTTACCTGGTTTCTTACAAAAACAAAATTTCAGTCAGTAAGAAAGAAGGTCAATTTGAAAAAAAAAACCCATTTGTAGAAAAAATAGTTAAAATCATACAAAGGAATTAGGGAAGACTATAAACTTTTTTCTAGGGTGTTCTTTTATCTTGGAAGTGGAAATTCAAGTTGGGAGGAAGCAATAACAAAGAATCTCATTGTCTTCTATGTAGATAAATGAAATTGAAGTCGAATACATCGTCTTCTTAAATAAAACTAGAACACCAACATTACGTGACAAATTTTTTAATTAGGTTACTGATATAAGTGATGGACGAGCCACATATGAGAACACCTTATTTATGGTTGATCAATGTGTTTAGGTCAAAAATTACCAAATTAATTTCGTAACCAAATTAGTAAGTGTGGTGAGATGTGAGAAATAAGTTGTTAAAAACTTGAGTGCTTAAGATTTAGAAATATGTTGAAGATCTTGCTTGTACCTAAGATCCAGGGTAGAAAATAATAGTACTGAAAGGTCTATTAAGTTAAGGTGTAGTATTTTTTAGATGCAAATGAGTGTGTTTGGGACAAAAATAGTGTTAAATTAATTAATAAGTGAATATACGTTATAAGGTTTTAAGATACTAAAAAAGGTACCAAGATAACATAAAGTATCTTGATCATTTAGATATGAAAATCGGTTAACAACCAAGCAGAAGATGAAATAAATATATGTCGATCAAACAACGGTAAGTAAATAAAAATAAGTGCAAGAACATAGAGAATTAAGAGGAAAGACCTTAATCCTTTTGCATCCCTGACATAAAACCTTGAGAGGTGATGAAATACCTGCCTTAGAACTTATATTAAACCGAAATAAATTTACAGGTGCTAGCTCATCTTAGTAATGAAGTGAATATGCTCAAGTGTTGAAAGAATCAGAGAAGAAGTTATAATGGAAGTGTTTTAGGCATTGACCACGTGTAGTTGACTTGGTCTATTCTTTTTTCATCAAGCCTTCAGTCCCCACATAAGATATCACAAGAAATACGATGGCATACCAACATATTGAATCAACCTAGGATCTTGGGCTTTAGTTCAAGTACAAGATGTAAAATTAGTAAGTCACAATTTCTATCCGCAACAATTGCCCACAAAAATCTTCAATCCAAGATCCTGGATGATTGCAGATTTCTAGATTTTTATTCGTTACATGCTAAAGGGTTGGGTTGACTGCTCGATTCCTAGAAATTTTGAATTTCAATTATTCCACCAATTTCTAGGGCTATAAATTCCATATTTCCAAATCAATCTTTACTTCAATAGATCAGGTTTATAGGTAAGCTCCTCCTATTTTTATGTTCCTCGTATCATGGACAAAGAACTTATTCTCCCAAGTTATAAGAATAAAGGTTTTGTCATTGAAGATTTTATTGATCAGTGTGTCATGTCTCAAACTAAAAATGAAGTCAATACTTTCTCTGATGTTAAGATTGAATTCCTTCAATCCGAGGGAAAATTTCCTCTATAAACAGTTTTTCGGTAATTTGATTCCAAGTTAAGGCTTGACTTTATATACCCTACATAGGTTTGCTTCTATCATCTTCCTTTCTATTCATCAGTTTGTTTTTTCCCTTTCCTGACGTAATTTTTTGAGTTTTTTAAGATGATGAGATTTCTATATGCCCAAATCGTGCCCATGGTTTGGCGCATATTATGTTAGATCAATTATCTTAATAAAAATGAAAATGCTAATGTTAGTCTTTCTAAAATAGCAAGTGTGTATGCTATTCGGTCTTTTGGTTCTTCTCGAGTGATTTTTCAAAATAAAACCAAGAAAAATGCATCTGGTTCTCAAAAACTTCTTGCCATAATGTTGGGTGGCAGAGAAAATACTTCTTTGTTGATAGGCACTCCCTTGTTGATGGGAATTCTTTACCTATAAAGTGGGTTGTTAGGGGTAGGATTCCTGATTGTTTTAAAGCTTCGCGTTTTCTCATTAATATTTTCTATTTTTCTTTTCATTTTTGGCTTATCGTTGTTCCAAGGTCTGAGGAACTGTTTATGGCCTGTAGGGATACCGAAGACAAGGTTCAATAATTTATGAGAATATCTTCTGAAAAGAGAACTTTCAAGGTTTTCAGGGAGCATTCCTCTTAAGATAGTTCAATTTCTCCTTTCGTCATTCCAAAATCTTCAATATGTAGGA